AGATGGTGTTGATATTCTTGAAAGCGAATTCTGTTAGGATAATCTAGTTTTCATGAGAACCAAAAGCTGCAAAACTAAGAACATGTTTAAATTTTGACTACAGCAATAGTCAAAACACATATAGCTAATTTGTCATTGCTGAGAGTAATTTTACATCGTAAAAAAAAGTGATTTGTGGATTCACATGGAAATTTTCTCATCTTGTTTGAAAGCAATACAGCGATATTGCGAAGAAAAGTTTCAAGAAACTAAACATAGGAATTCTGGTAGACAATACCCCAATTATGAACTGTTTTAGAAGTTCAGCAATACCCTCTAAGGGAGTTCCTATTCATCATGACTTTTATCGACACACATTGTTAACGTGAAATCGTCTTCGACTGCCAGTTCCATCTTCTAAAATAAATACAAATACCGTTGACAATGCAGAGGCGAACGTAAGTAAATAGAATACTGGTGTGATTGACTCTTAGACTGATTTATGTTCAGGTTGACAGGCAAGCAACCTTGCCATCGTCCGAAAACCATTAAGTGGAATGAAATCGGAAGTCACCTTGATTTAGAAACCCTATTTTTGCTTCTTTAGCACAGACATGAAACAAACGAAGCGAATTATCGAGTACGCAGCTATCGCTGGTATAGTTTGTAGTGTTGCACTTGCCGGTCTTATTCTTGGATGTCTGGCTCTTATTTTTGGTCTACGACAAAGTAAGACGCAATGAATCACTCAAAAAATAAAATAAAAATTAAGTTCTGAAGTATGTCATCTTCGACTATACTGTCAAAATCTAGCTTCACTTGTTCCACCTCAATATAACTTCTTCCTTTTTTTTTCCTTCTACTTTACTATGTCAGAGTTTTCAACATGTTAAAGGAACTATCAATGGAATAATGAGACACTGTTTGTTTCAGAGGTGCCGACTGGTACAATTCTTCCTTATAGTGGTAGTGCATCGATACTCATTGAGTCGGATAGTTAATGGTTGTTTTGTAATGGTTCTGAAGTATCTCGATCAACTTATCGCGATTTGTTCATTGTCATTGGTACTACTTTTGGAGCAGGCAATGGTGTAGACACTTTCAATTTACCTGATTTACGATCGCGATTCCCATTCGGTAGCGCCACTTATGGTCAGAGTTCACTCACTTCTGGTGGTACTGCGTCGCACACTTTAACGGTAGCTGAGTTGCCAGCTCATACTCACAATCAAGGTACATTACAAACGGCCACCAACGGTGCACACACGCATACCATCACTGATCCAGGACATGATCACGGAGGAGCGACTGGGACCGCCTCTATGAGGGGTGACAGTTTCACTATGAGTGGCTTCAGCGGGGGATTTGGTACTGATGCTGGTACTCACACCCATTAGATCTCCTCTGACACGACAGGCATCTCAATACAGTCCAACGGTGACCATACCCATACGATCAGTGGTTCAACAGGTTCAGAAGGACTCGGTCAATCTTTCGATAAAATGCCGCCTTACCAAATCGTTCACTATATCATCCGAATTTGAAAAGAAGCACATTTTAATTTTATTCTTCTTGCCCAAAGCTATACAATATGTTTTTCCTTGTTTTCGATCAACATCCGCTGTAAACTTCCGAATGCCTTAAAATAATCAATAAATTTATTGTCAAGCCACCCCTTAAAAAAGGCTAATTCGTGCAATGAAGAGCTATCCCAACTTGTTTCAAATTAGACCATTCCTTTTATAGATTTATAGGAAATCGATAATGTAATTAAGTTCTTCTTGATTTTCCCACATGAATAATGTTGAAAATGATTCGAATAATAAATCGAACTTCATGTTGAAAGTTTGCTAGAAATATCTTTAGTATTTTCTTTTCCACAAACACTACGTAGTTCATTTCGCATTTTTCACATTACTTTTTCTATCTCTGCTGTTGTCTTTGTCTTCCAATAAATGAGTGAAATCGTTTATCATCTCTTCTCGAAATAATCACTTCTCACTATTCACATTGTATTTCTAAAACCATTATTCCATGCAATTGTCCTGTATGTCATGCGCAACTTGTAATACTTGGCAATTCGCTCATTCTTTATTTAAGCGAGGTTGACGGGCAAAGATGAATATTATAGCGAAATTATTCATCCTCACAAGCTCATAATAGAATCAATATTGTAGACCTGGTTATCACTTATTCGTGATAATACACTGAGGGTGCGGGTGTGTTATCTCTCCAATTACGTACAGATACACGTCAACCCTTAAACCCACACCCTTTTCTTTATTCAACTTCTCTTGATAGGGTCAATCCTACACTAACTATCCGTTTTGTTTTTTTTGCTTTTTTTGTACTGCTAGCCAAAAAAAACGATTGTCATGTGATACTTAATATACTTGCATACGAATTTTTAGCTTGGTATTAATGCACAAATAAGGGAATCGATGTTTCAACCAGATACAATAGTTCTAACCATTGCATATATTGTGTGAATTCTGATGGAATTCTGACAATTGGGGAAAATCAACAATATTGTCCAACTGCAAATAGAATCTGGACACTTTTTTGAAATTCTAGTAGAATTCAGACATTATCGAAATTCCATTGGCAAAACTCCTATTACCCTAATTTCGTTTTACATAAGCATAAGAAAAATACACATTCAACATGGCCATCAAAACTACATGTTAAGCCACAAATAATTGCATAGATATCTGTAAAGAGATCAGTTATCGTTTGACCATCGGTTGACACTACTGGTCGATTTAAAGTAAATTGAAGTTGTTAAACTTCATCTGGTCAAAGTCCAATCATTTAAGAATAAGAATCTATATCCCTAATATTCTATGATAAAAAATCATTTTGAGTAATCATATTTCAAAAATTGATTACAGACAAAACATGATTTATGTATTTCAACGAGAAGATCAAAATAGAACTCAACATCAATATACTTTAGTTTTTTTATAATATACAGTTTTATGCTTGTGATTAATCTCTGATTGACATGATGATCAGATGAATATCTATCATTACTTTTCATGCAAACTGAAAATATAACTATAATGAATGATTGCAAATACTACATATGTATTTTCTCAATGTTTTCTTTTTTATATTTATGATTTGATTAGAAAAATGTTTGACTTCAACTAAGGGAACAATAGGATATAGAATAAAAAGTATCAGTTTCTTTTTTTGAAATAATAACATAAGAAAATAATTATTCAACTTTTTGTTGTTCTTGTTCAGGAGTTGTATCATTATTCTTGTTAGCATTCGCTTCATCATCAGGTTGTAATAAAACTTTTCCAATATTTAGTCGATTATGCATACGTTGCATAGCTTCACCAACTTTTGAATATGGATAAATACTATCTATTTGTGGTTTAATTGCACCTTCCTTATATAATCGAAATAATTCATTTATGGTATTCAATGCTAAATCTTTTGTATTCTCAAGATCTTTCAATAAATAACCAAGATGATAACCAGCAATGCTTTTATTGGTTGATAAAATCGATAATGAATTTGTTGAAAAACATTTATACCATGTTTTAAATGCTGTTAATAATGAACGATTTTCACCACTAGCAGCAACATTTGATGCACCTATATACAATATAGTAAATATGTCTATTGATTATTATTAACAAATCGAATAAATACATACCAAAATAAATAATTCTACCTAATGGTTTAAGTAAATTATAGCCGCGTACACTATCTTCTCCATTTAATGGGTCCATAATTATATCAACACCTTTAGAACAAGAAATACAAGTGATAAGAAAATGGAAATGGAAATGGTTTTGTTTTGTTTATTTACCATTAGGTGAAATTTTACGAATTTCAGTTACATAATCTTGTGTGTGATAATCAATTGGATATGTGCATCCTGCTTCTTTGATAATATTATGTTTTGCTCTGGACGCTGTTCCAAACACTGTTACATTTTCAACTGTTTTACATAGTTGAATAGCCGCAATACCAACACCACCTATTATTAAAATTGAAGATGAGGAAAAAAAAAACAACAATATTTTTTTTCCTTTACCTGCTGCCATATGTATAAGTACACTTTTATTTGGTCGTAAATTTCCAAATTCAAATAAAATCTGATAAGCAGTTATATAATTAACAAGTAAAGCAGCTCCTTCTTCGAATGACATCTCATCAGGCATTTTAAAGCAATGATCACTTGGAACAGTTACAACATCAGCCCACATACCATCACCAGCAAATGTAACAACTCGATCACCAACAGCTAACTGGGAAACATTTGAACCAATCTCTTCTACAATACCTGATGCTTCAAAACCAGGAACATATGGATATTTAGGTACCGGTGAGTAAAGACCTTGTCTAATATTATACAAACAATTATTATAATAGACAAAATAGTCCAATAACATTGAAAGCAAATATTTAAAAAGAAGAGTATTTCTCACCGTCTCATTAAATCGGCGAAATTGAGTCCAGCAAATTTAACATGAATGACTACTTCATTGGGATTTGGTGCTAGATATGGAACTTGTTTAAGTCGAAGTTTATCATATCCACCTGCACCGACTAGTTCTACAGCAGAAAAAATACGAGGTTTATTACTCGTTTCACTTGATGCCATCGTGTTGATAGAATCGATCAATCTAAAATCAATAAAGAAAAAAATAATTATTGTCTATTGGCATTCTAATGAACTCTCTCTCTCCTTTAATAATAGCTAATTGGTATTCTATACATGCATAATAAAAAAGCAAAATCTAAATAATGTCGAACTCTTTACTGTAAATATAATCTTTGTATTGTAAAGAAAAATGCATATCATATATAAAAGTAAGCCTTTATGACCATAAGAAAAGTACTTATATTTATTTTATTCATTCAAAGATCATGTTAGTCATATCAACAGAGATAAGAAATAATGTATTTCGTTTTGTTGTGTTTGAAATAAAAAGTTGAAAATTAATTGTACACCAAAAAAAAAAAATATTCTCAAAGGAAAAACTATGAAAAATTTCCATTTATTTTTTATTCATATCGATATAATCAAGATCTAATTTAAAATAAACATATGGATAATATTCTTGTTGTGATGAAAATACGCCGGGAATATCAATTGGCTAGGAAAACAAAAAAAAAGAATTTTATGAAAAAATTTATGTAATTTGTTTTTTGTTTTACTTCATCATATTTTGATTTATCTGATTGATCAAGATAGCCGAACAATTGATCAAATACATCGCGCAAACGTTTCGTTGATTTTCGAGTTGGATGAATAATAATAGCAACAAAATTTACTGGTAAACCATATCTATATGAAACAATAAAATTAATTATAGAATTTGACCTAAAATATATCTTTATGATAGCCTTTGTTCTTTTTTTTACTAAGATTTAGTCAAAAATTCGTGCAATTTCAATAAGATTTTTATACTTCATTTGATGAACTAGTTATCCTTTGTTTTGGCATGATGATAAGCAAGAGAACTTCTGAAATATGAAAGAGATGTATTGTATTTTACGTAAGGAGTAATCAATGAAAAAAAATATTTTAGTTTATAATCAAGATTATATTACCGACAATCATGAAAATTGTTCAGAATCTAAATATTTTTCGTCGAAGGATATTATTCACATTTTTAGAAGAAACATGAGAATTATTTGAATTCGACACAATACTTATTGAATCTTTTGACATACTTTCAAACTTGATCGAATCAAACAAATATTCTCTCTAAAACATTCTTATGTAAACTTGCAAATGAACACTACAACTCATTACTAAGACTATTTTTTTTTCAGTTTTATAACATCAATATACAGTCTCTATAAAGTTTGAATCCTACTAATGATATGAATTTACAATAGAAATGTGCAGAATAGATTTTTATCATATTCTATAACATGACTGAGAAAAATTTTCTTAACCTTATCCTACATATCTCTATTTCATAATCAATATAATATGTGTACGAAATGTAAACTGTCTGTAAGCATTCATATAAGAATTTCTAGCAGTTACCTTAGAACAGATTCAACAAAAACACGTAATGCTTTGATATGTATTGATGCTGAAAAAATTTCACCAAAATTAATTTTAAGCCAACGAACAAGATTAGCATAAAGTTTTTGTCGTTCAGTTTCAAGTTCTCGAATTTTATCACGTTCAGTTGTAAATGCTTGTTCATCAAACGTAAAATCTCGTACAGTAAATCTTTAAATAGAAAAATAAATAATAAGTCTCTTGTTCTTCTCTGATATTTAACATACTTATTTTCTCGACATTTATGTCGAAATGTATCTTCTGTTTTTTGAAATAATGTTACAGTGAATAAAGCATAATCTTGATCTTGTATTATTAATTCCGTTGTACGTGGTACAATCATCGCACATAATGTTTCATATTTTGCATACCAATCATTTATGAATGTTTTTGGTACACATACTAATAAAGTTTTTAAATATTCACTACCCAAAACAAAATGTTCTTTTTTTACAATGTCATTTAAATTACGTGTTAATAAACTACCACTAAAATAAAAGCTTTTAATTAATAAAAAAAAAAAAGCAAAGAAAAAATAATGAAAGAAAGTTCATACGTTTGTTTTTTTTCGAATGTTTCTAAATTTTGTTTAACATTATTATATGATTGACTACGAAGTTTAAGTTCATTCTCAATATGTGTTGTTGCCTAAAAAGCAAAATTATTTCTAATATATTTACTTGTTTAATCTGAATATATCTAGTTCGAAAAAGATTGACATAGCATTTTTCATGTCTTAATTTTACGAGATGATACTCTAAATTCTAACGCTTATTTTAATGGTAAATTGAGTCAATGATAATGCAAGCTGACGTCTTTTAAAAAGTTCAGTTCAAATATATTCTATGTCGCAGTAGGATAATTAATTTGACTCATGAAAATAAGAACTTTGAGTATGTTTCAAAGGAAAACAAAGGATTTATAAATTAATAACGACTGTTAAATAAGCATGACTTTAAATATATGGAGAATATATGCAGAAATTTTTCTTGTAGAACCTTGATTTTCTAACACATTTGTTTTTACGAATAAGATCTGAATCTTTGATAAGTTTTCAAAATATCCTATATTTCATAGATGTTCTATGAAAGATGATTATAATTTTTCAGAACTTAATATTTCACTGAAGCAATGTCGAACAATTCTAAAAATTTTTATACAAATCAGTTTAGATGAGATCTTCCCATGTACAAAGTTAATAAAAACTGGTGACTTCAAAAAATGTCCAAGCTCTACAGGAATAATTGGTTAAAAATCAGATGGCTCCGCCTATTCTTGTCAGAAATCCGATTCCTTCCAACAATACTCGAATCTGTATATCTTTGCTATATGCCCGAACTACGTGAGTCTTTAAATGTCTCTAACACATGATTCTCCTATGTATACCTCCAAGTGAAAGAATAAACAAAATAAAAAACATTTTCAAGATCAGTTTGAATTAGATAAGAACTGATTCCAATTTCTAAACTACATTTTCAGAGAATGATAAAACCCCTTAGGTTTAAAATTTTTAGATCCGATCCAACCACAATTTAATACTCTCAAGGAAATTTTCTACTCGGAATTGCATACTTGCCTCGAAGATACAAGATATTTTTCTTCCGATTCTTTTATATTTGGTGAGTGGTGCACTCGCTTCATTTTTTAAACCACTAGAGCCCGTTAGGTAAAAACTTTTCAGGCCTGAATAGACTTTGGTACATGATCCAGTCCCAAGAAAAAGAAATACTAGTAATGTTATGTGCCATTGATTATCCTTATTGATTATGTTTGTTATTTCGAATCGGTAAATAGATATCACCAAAATTGATTTCTAAATACAATGTTTTGTCTAGCATGTAAATCGTGGAGATGGCACTCCTCAGAAAATCAAGCATGTGCTTCGTCCTCCGCTGAGTTTATGGTTATTGTACCACGTATTATATGCGTATATACCCAAAACAAAATGCTCATTTTTACGAAGTTACGAATCGCTGTTTTGGAAAAGTTAAATCACGAACAAATGCTAATAACATACTTTTGAAATAATTTCTGAGAGATTTTTTAATGATTGTTTTGTTGGATATTTTGCATGATCCCATTGAAATTCAGTAACATATCGTATTGGATCAACTAAATTATGATTTAATTAATAATAGAAAATAACTGACAAGAAAATACATACAACCATTTGGTCCAACAACAAGATTTTCTGCAAGACGATTACGATCATCATTAAGAATGTCATGAAAGAAAAAGTGTGTTAATTTTTTAGCAACTCTAAAACAAGTTTGCTTTTAGATTTGTATATAGAAAAAAAAATTTTTTTTTTCTTGTATTTATACCCTTCGATATATGTATCAAGTCTAGCAAGATCATCTGAAAGTGCAACAAGTGAATCGAGTGTACCAACCTATGATATGAAAAATTGAAATGATTGAAAATAGATTATTATTATTATTATTTTATTTATTTTGCCTTTAAATCAGGAATATTAAATATATAATTAACAGATAATTGATCTCGTGCAGTAGCTTGACAAACTTCATCAAAACTTTGTCTTGGCGTTGATTTTCCTGGAACGGATATAATCCAATATTCTTCAGACATTTTGATAATTAGATTCAATAATAAAAATAATATAATATCAAAATAAAACAATTAACGTACTTAAACTCTAGTTTTATTAACTTATACTACATAAAGATTTTATTGGTTACAAATATTAACCAATAAGAAAAATAACATAGAAAATAATAATAATAATAACTTATTTATGAGATATTTTTCTTTAATGAAAAAAAATTTTAAATTCAAAAGAACAATTCTTTAAAATATTTATTATGAAAATGTCATTTCTTTTTTTCAATTGAAACTTTTTTAATATAAATCTCTTCTGTTACAACTGATCGCATTGCTGCATCTGTTTTCAAGTCTAGCCCGAGGCACAGTCAACATTGAGGAAGAGGGTATCGCGATCTTTTGACAAACTGTAAAGCTTTTTTTTTAAAAGAACGTAGAAAAAACTTGTGGTCCAATTGAGAAAAAACAAAATGTTTTCTTGATGTGAGAGAGTAGACGGCTGTCACATCCTTGACACCTCTCCGATCAGGCTATCGTTATATGTTTTCATCTTTTCTCCTCTCTCTCTCTCTTTTCGATAACTACTTATATATATATAAAATAAACAGATAAATATCAATTCTATAAATTTATAATAATTTTTCAATCATATGATGAAGTTATTTTAAATTATATTTGCTATTACTTTGTAGTTAAAATATCTGTTATACTTATTTCCTTTTGGTTAACTATTCAATGAGTATGCATGTATTAAACATCATTTTGAACTACAGGATTCGTTTTCTTTTTCCACTCATATACACCCTATGTACATTACTTGTCTTCGCTGTGTCAATAGTCTTCGAGCAAAAATGTATGAGAATAGTCTCTGTTAGTCAGAGAGATACTCGAGAAATCAAAACAACTTATTGCATACGCTTGATGTGAAAAATTTCACATATACACCACCAAAGAACAAGAGAGAGAGAGATGGAAGGAGAGCGCAAAAGAAAACGTTTGAAGGGGATTTTTCTCTCAATGTATTGCGGTTACATAAGTGGTGTTGTTGTTGTTGTATTTAGAAGAGAAAAAGATAATCAATAAAACGAAGAACACTTGTAACCTTCGAATAGTATTTTAGTTTTTCATTTGAATAATAAAAAAAATCTTCTTCCCTAATATTATCAATAGTTATTAAGTAATTATTATCGATATCGAGTATCATTTTCTTTTTTTCTCTACTTGTCTATGATATTCGAAAATAAAGTAAGGATATTCGATCTTGTCTTCATGCAACTTATTCCTTTTGATGTCAAACAATGGTTCTTTCTAAGCTATTTAACATGTATTTTAAATTGATCATGATTATATATTATATCATATTTGAGTTATTCTTTAAATAGAATGAAAAATTTAGACGGATTCTACCTGTATGAGACATATCGTCCGTTAAGTATATGAAAATATTTATTTCAAAGTATAAAAAAACAGAAATTTTCTTATTTGTTACTGTATATCTGTAAGTACTCGTTATATGTATATGCCTGGTGGCATCTTGATGGCTTCAGTTCTTTTTTCGTTTGCTGTCACTTCCGAACGTTTGTGCTTTTGTACTGCATTGATCATATATCAAGAATGTCTTTTTTGTAATATCAGCATACCATTAATCTCTCATTTTTTTTTCCTTTTCATAGTGAATATTTCAATAGATTATGTTGAAAATCAAGGCTAGTAAAGGATTTGCCGTATATACGAGAGTAAAAGGTTATCTTTAATCGTGTAGGCTAATTTGTTTGAACCGATTGCATTGGTACTGAGTCTTGTTGAAAGAAAGATTAACTTTCTTTTTCTTCTTCTTCTTCTTCATAGTCAATGGTCTAATGTAGGCGACATAACATTCTTCTACTCCATGTTCATTCGATAGAGTCTTTGAATAGTTCGACTTTTTTTCGTCTGTCATGAGAAAAAGAGAGAGAAAGAGAAAGAAGACGGTCACGTAATAGCCACTCCGAATATCTTAATAAACGGAAGAAAAACGAAATAAGAACAAAACATATAAATATATATAACATAAGCACGCTTTGTTTGTCTCTAGATCATTATGCTTAGTCAACTTCAACGAGGACATCATCACGAATTTGATGGGTAAATGATAAGACTGGTTATTTATTTAGTATAATTCATTTTATCTAGTGATCCAATGTCTGCACGTACAATAAATGGTCATGGAGAACGTTGGAAATCTCCAGGTAAAAGTCTATTATTTTCTTTTCTTCTCTAAGGTATCTAATCTATTGTTGATCCATTTTATGTAGTTATTTCTTCAGTAAGTGTAATACTGCTTATCTTTATTTGAATTTTCAATACATAGTTTCAGAGTAGTTTCTTGTTCGTTTTTATTATTATCGTTTTTGGTATTTATTGCTCGACTGATAGTTGCTCCTATTGCTTATTATCTGAATTTGTTTGCTGATTCAGTCCTACATATACACCGACTTATTCATCAACCCACCCATATATATCTAGATACATATAAATATGTATACATATTTTGATCGTGGTTGTTAACTGATTTGTCATAGATTTACGTCAGATTTGGCACGTATGAGTCAAATATAAAGCGTGACAAATATAGTAACAATGAGATATTCTTCTTCCTTTTATTTCTGTTCGGATTTTTTTCTTTTCTTCATCAGGTTTTATTATTTGTCCACAATGAATGAATAGTTCCTTAGACCATGATTCGTTCTTTTATTTGGACAAAGTTTGTCAAGTTTTTTTTTTTCATTTTCTTCTTCTATTTCTCTTTTTCATTTTCTTCTTTTGCTTCTACAAATTGGTTGTCGTCGTCCGTCTACTACAGGAAAGCGAGCTCTACTAGTTATAAACATCACAATTGTTATTTTTCAAATTCTTATCCGTCAAACCTACTTACACAATCATATTTTTACAAACATTCAGGCAAGAAAAAAAGTAAAAAAAGAAAAATAGAGAGTTTAAAAAAAGACACACGTCAATCATCAACGCCTTTCTTTTTCGCTTAATTCGAATCAAAACAAAACAGTATTGCAACATTATTATTACTTATTTATTCGTCGTCAACGTGATCTGTGAAACGAGACAAAATAGAATACATACAAAAAAAACATAGTGCAGGAGAAGGTGAAAGATTAAACCTCAAATGACTTTTCATCAAAGTCGGCTACCTTTTGATGGTCGTCTAGCTAATAATTATACACCTTCACGTTATTACTTTAGTGATAAACGTAACGGTATGTTATTATTATTATATGTTAATGCTTTTATTATTCATTTATTTTTTTTTAAGCTAGAAAAAAAAAATAATAAGAATTTATCTAACATATAAAATTTCATTAAAAAATTAAAAAATGTCTTCTTTTTGTTTTTTGCTTGATAGAATTTAGTTTTTAGTAATAAAATAGAAAGAAAAATTTAATTTTAATTAATCTGTTTTATTTATATTTAGACCGATCAACTTTATCGTTTTTAAACAATAATATATTACCAGATGTTTTTACACCACGTTCAAATTCATCTGCATTAAATCCTGATTTATCACGAGCATTTCGTGTTGATGCTCATCTATTAGCTATTGTGCGAATTGAAGATAAACGAAGTAAGTTTGAAGGCTTTTTTCTTGATTCATATATATATATATATAAACATGGAAGAGAAAAGTTTCATGTTTTTATTTTTATTTGAAAAATCCATACAAATGCAAATGTTAGATATGTCAAACGAAATTTTGTATTTATCTTTAGATAGTTTCTATTCGGCTGAAGTCGTTAGTAAATTACGCCAAAAAGAACAAACACAAAAGTTTATTAATAAACCATGTTCATTATTTGTTAATGATCGTAATTTTATCATATATGATCGAGCAACACAAGTAATATATACATTTTTTTTCTCGCTTTGACAGCTTTTTATATAAATTAATTTGCATATATATATAAAGGTTATTGCAGAAATAATTCCACTTGAAAATGTTGATCCCACATGTGTGTATTCTGATGAACAAGATACACTCAATGATATATTTATGTATCGTATATTGGATCGACATTTAACACCAACAACAAGTCAAGCTAGTAATTCAAATAGCAATGAATTGACACATGCAATTGTATTTAAATGTTCAAATAAAGAATCAAGACATCTTGTTGATAGTATTCGAAGTGCAAATGGAAAATCATTAAAAGGTTCAAGAAGGTATTTCGATTAGATTTGTTTTTTTTTTTTTATTCGATTTTTATTTTTGATTATCATCATGAATTTTTCAGTACTCGATCAGAAACACGAAGTACAATTGATCGACGTTTCAATGAGACTGAAGGAATACCATCCAATACTACACAACCATTTTTACCTGAATCTGTATCAATAAACAGTAAGTTAAATGAATTGATAATGTTCTTTCTTTCAAGTGTTTTATTTTTTTATTTCAAAGATCCAACATATGTTGTTGGTCCTCAACATTCATCACGTACAAGAAGTCAACAACATTCAAATATGACTTCAGCAGATTATTATAGACGTTTAATAGAAGAATTAAATAAATGTTTTGATGATATTGAATTATTTGTGCATTACATTGAAGCAACTATGGAATATACCAAAGAATTAGAACGTGATTATCGACGAAAAGATAAAAAATCAAGTAGCTAGATTACTTTTTGTGAATTTTATATAGCTTTATGGTCGTTTTTTTTCTCTTATCTTTTTTTTTTATAGGTGGTTTAAAACAAATGGTTGAAAAACTACCTGATGACAGAATTTTTATTGATATATTACAAAAATTTAAACATTCATTCAATCTTTTAGGTGAATTAAAACATATTATCCATAGTCCAAATGCACCTGAATTAGTTCATTATTTATTATCACCATTACAACTTATTTTACATGCATTACGTACAAAACATCCAAATCAATTACAATTGGTATACGATACATGGACACCTGCATTAACAAGAGAAGCAAAAGAATTATTAGCCAATTGTTTAACATCAAAAGAACAGGAAGTTTTATGGAATCTTGGTCCAGCATGGACTCGAACAGGGTAAGAAGTTATACAAAAACAAAAAAAATAACAACAAGAAATCATTAAATTTTTGATCATTTTTATTTCAAATATTTAGTGAAGAAATACCAACAATATTAGCCGATTATCGACCGGTATTTTTTGAAGGTCGTTCAATATGGTTTCAAGAACCATCTAATGATTATTCATTAAAATCAACACGTAGTATCGATGAACGTCAACCATCAGTTTGGTCGTCTCCTCGAGTATAACGAATTTTTATTTTTATTTTTGTTTCCAACAAAACTTATTGTTTGTTTAGCAACCAAATCAAAATAATAATAATAATGGTCCATCATCAAATCATCATACAACATTAGTTAGACAACCATCACCAGCTGGACATTTTGATACATCAACTGTTGATCGTTCAAATAAAACTAGTGTAGCAGAAAATTATAATGCACATAATCAAAATGAATATATTTGGGCTATGGATAGAAAACGTGTTGGAGCAAAGTAAATGATTAAATTTATTATTATTATTATTATTATTATTTTAATAATATGTTTTATTTTCTTTAAGAATTTGTGTAGTAAAATTTGATCGTCAAGGACAAAATAATAAAGAATTAACTGTACGACGTGGTGAATTAATTGAAATTGAAAATAGTTCAAAGAAATGGTGGCGTGCAAGAAATGCTCATGGTGATGTTGGTCATGTACCACATAATATTGTTGAAGAAGTTGAACTAGAACAAATACAAGTTGTATGTATGAATAGTTTTTTATTTATATGTGTCTTTTTAATTATTGTTTCTTTATTTATTTTATTAGAAAACTCTATAATTTCATTTTTATTTTTATTTTTCATTATAGAAAAGTACATCGTCGAATCCGTCAGGTATAAATTCGCATCGTCTGCTAACAAATGCAAATAATCGTTCGCGTCATAATTGATCAAAATAATATAATATTAAAATTTCAAGCTTATACTATCTCTTCTCACTACTTCACCTTCGTTCGCTTTTTTTCTTCTTATTTATCTTTTTTCTTGTAATTATTGCATGTGTAATATACACTCTCACTTCTTTGTTTCTTTATTGTGTTCATCCATACACGTATGCTGTGTGTGTGTACTTTTAGTCTAACTTATTCTTTTAATCTAGCATAAAAATATAAATGAATATGTCATATCACTTATTTCAAGTCATCAATAGTGACCACACGAATAAATTAAAATAGTGAGATTACAAAGAATAACTAGTTTCATTTATCTTTTTTTCTTTTTCTTTTTCTTCTTCTATTGCTTTTCTTGAATAGTTCATGCGTTCATGCAAAACAGTATCCTTCATTTTATACTGAATAACTGCACGCATAAAAATATCAATTTCCTTCAAATGTTGCAATCATTTTCTTTGTACGTATATACATAGAAGTTTTCTTTTCTCTATCATTTTGTGTACGTCCACTTTTCTTTGTTTTTGTTTGTCCACCGGAGGAGAAAGAGAACAATATTGCTATTGTTATTGAACATGTTGCGCCAATAGTAACCATCTGATATCGTTGATTTTGCTTGCTCAATTTCATATTATCAAAACTTAGCCAACAATATGGACATCGCCGGGCCATGTTTTTTTTTCCTCTCCAGTATATATTCTTATTTGTTTTAACCAAGAAATATAATAAATTGTTTATGTAATCATATCTTTCGAATGTCATTATATTCATTTGTTTTTAATTATTTTCGGTTTTTTTTCTTTTGTTGTTGTATTTATCGATCTTTGCTCATTCATGTTTTTCTTCGTTTTTTTTTTTCGAAATTCTTCAATCTTCATCATGTTAAAACACGAATAAACCAAATGTGAGTGAGTGAGAGAGAATAAAACACGCACACACACACATACATCAGCTTTTGACTTATTGCTGCCTTTTTTTTACACACATACACATAATTCCTCTCTGCACTGTAGACAAAAAAAATACTGATCATAGCTCTTACAGAAAAAGAAAAGAAAATATATACAATGTCTCTTTATATATACTTTAGTCGTTATCCCACGTTCATCGAGTGCACCTCATCGAGGATTTACTCATGTCAATGGACATCATCATCGCAATGTCAATGATTATAGCCAGCATCTTATTCGTTCTCCATCCTATGGAAATAATTTTATTATGCAATCAAATAACAGTACATATACAAATCCGGCAATAACGAGTGATCAATTAATTCAAGAAACATTTTCACCATCAGTTTCTTCTCCACCACTTGCTCCTCCTCTTCCTCCTCCTCCTCCTCCACTATCAATTCCACCGCCACCACCAATGCCACAACAATTATTAACTAGTCGATCATCAGCATGGACAACATTACCATTACCAGAAAGTAGTAGAAAACGACGTTCTCGTTCAAATACCAATTTGTGTAAGTTTCCAAAGCAAAAAAACAAGTCAGCTTTATTTTCAATTCGATCAAGAAAAAAAAGGAATTGACATAGTTATACAGAGCCAACAGATGAGATCAATCGCTTTTATCTCTACAAAAAGAGTAGTGTATTGATCGTTATATTATAATCAAAATGACACCTTAACAGAATAACAATAGAACGAAATAATAGGTACACTAGTTATCGTTATTAATTATAAGTTAGTATTAATTGTTGAAATTAGCAAGCGTAGACACTTGTTGAAATTACAAAATATTTATTCATATCCATATAGACGATGCTACGTAATAGTAATGCAAAAGAATTTTGTGATTTGAAAAAGGACAAAATTTATTATTCATTCACAGACTTTGAGTCTGAAATCTCGATTATTCTAATGCTGATTTCGAGATACTCATATCAATTTCGTAAGAAATCAAAATGTCTTTTTCAACATATGAGATTTATTTAAATTGAAATTTAATAGACTTTTCCTATCTTGTTTTTTTTTCTTCTTTTCGAATAAGCTACTCAAAAAGTAGATGTATTACAACAAGAATTAAATCAACGTTTAACAGATCGAATTGGTTATATAAATCCCAATTCATCAAAAGAAGATGTTCAACGATGGTTAGCATCAAAACATGTGTCATCTCAGTAATTGCTTTTTTTTCTTTCAATCAATAAAAATTTTCGAGTTTAATTTTTATTGTTAAGACTTGCACAAAATTTAAATGGTATGAATGGTGAAGAATTATTTCAATTATCTAAAAGTACACTTGATCAATTGACAAATGAACATGAATCAGCTAGAGTTTATGCATTACTTTCACAACAAAAACAATTAGCTGGTGTAAGATTTGTTGTTTTTTGTCTTATTAATATTTATATGTTAAAATTTACTTTTACTAGTATCGAACTGGAGAAGTCTCTGAAAGATCACCGCATCTAAATAATAGTGCACTTAGCTCTCTTAAAGGCAATACAATCAATGATGCTGAGGGTAAAATAAAACAATTTTTTTGTTTTTTTATGTTTATTTGGTCAATAATAATATTTTTTAGATAATTTTTCTTTACAACCTGATGATACATTAAGCCGTTCATTAAAAATCAAATTAAAACAACGGCGTGATAAAATCGAACAAGCAGAATCAGTTGATCGTACTGAGATTTAAAATATTATTTTTTCTTCTGTTTTTGTATACTTCGTAAGAATAGTTTTTTTTTTTTTGTTGTTTTGTTTTTCATTTTTATTTTTTAAATAAGTACACAACGAGAACTCTAAAGTGTTTTATTCAAAAAACAAAAAACAAAGAAAATAAAAAGTGTTCATTGCTATTTTAAGGATCCTGAATAGTTGGAATTGCTCTTTTTACATAACGTATAATAAATAGTATAACACGAATAATAAACAATACACAACAAATAATAAGTAATGCAAGTGCAAATGATTTATTTTTCATTGTCATATCTGTTCGATTATAATTTTTTGATACAACACCAGATAATCCAAATATAAGAACAAACCATGGTAAATATGTATATGCCATTGATGAATAAAATATAAAATTTTCACTAACAAAATAAACAACAATACCAACAAGTACAAGACTAAGTGCAGCTGTTGATGCATCAGCTATTGATTGTGCATTTCTATTATATATTTGAGATATCCAAATAGTTAAATTAAGTAATGTTGCAAGATATAACCATGTTCCATAAACAGCAAAACCATTATGAACAAATACACGAACAAGCCATATATCTGCTTTGCTTTAAAACATAAGAAAAATAAACTATATATAATGATAATATGAAAAAAAAAAAGAAAATTTACCGATTAGAATTAATGTATTCCGATCGATTACGTTGAAGAAGTATGTGTGTAATAATCATTGGAATAATAATCGTAAGAAACATTAAAAAAATTACTAATAATCCCCACTAAATGAAAAAAAATAAAATTTACTTAATAAATCTCTTTTTTTTTTCTTTCTTCTTCACTTACACCAAAATATTGTCGATCCCAAAGAATAAGCCATCCTATATTTAAACCCATATTTATTATATAACATATAAATATACTAAAATGAAGTGTATTTGGTACAATATATAAATAATCATCTTTTGATTTCCGAAATATTCGACTCAATGCATAGATTAACCATGCTGCTTGCCAAAAATAAATTACACCCCATACACTAAATGTCCAACCTTAATTAGACGAAAATATTAATTTTCTTTTTGTTTTATTCTATTTAATAAGTTTACCAGCAGGTGTAAATTCAGTTAAATTTTGATCACTTATACTCCCTGTTCGTTGAGTAAATATGCCTAAAGAGAAACAATATAAAGATTATTTTTCATAATGAAAAATTTTAAAGTCAAAATAGAAAACATGATTGACAATCTATAGTTGGACGTCTTTCAAGATCAACCATTTTTGAGAGGATTAATGAATGAAAAACAAATATGAGAATTTTTCAAGATTCGGAACATCTCTTCTATGAATTCGAAGTCTTTTTTGTTTTCTTTCAATTCATGCCTAAAAAAAAAAACATGAAAGTTTCATACCATTAGGACCAGAACCTGCTAAACCATTAAAAACACAAGTGAGGATAAAAGCAACAATAGCCAGTACAATAAGTAATATATGCCACCAGCGATGTTGAAAATTAGCTTTTGTATCTATTTCATCCAAAACAAGATTGTCTTTGACTAAGGTTGTTTCTAATGAAATTAATTTGGAATATTAAAAACAAAAATCATGATCAAAACTTACCTTTATTTCCTGAAGAAATTCTCGACATGATGAATATGTTTGATCAATTATATATCCTTGATTTTACTCTTTTTTACCTCAAGTATATATAGGTATATGTTATCGGGTATGTTACATAACTCGTGTCCTCAAGGTTATATAATATAAAGGTTATGAGTTCTTTTTCTTTCCTTCATAATTATCGTTGGTGGTTACATAAACCTGCGCAACAACGCGCGAAAGTATGTCTTCAAAGGACTAACATAAAGAAAAGGAAAAGAAAAAGAAATGAGGGCGACAAATGTATGTTTGTTACACATCTTGTCAGAGGAAAAGGGCAACCAACGGTTGTCTACTTAAAAATGTTTGACAAACGTAAAATAAAAAAAAATAAAATAGATTAGTTTGACTATAATAGAAATGTTTCGACATTTATTTAATAAGAAAACCTATGAACAAAAAAAACGTTTTGATAAATATCATTGGTCATTACATAATGTTAATCGATTTTTAACTAGACGATGTATTTTTTGTGTTTTATTTTTCATATTTTTATTTTCTATATTGAGAAATTCGGGTGAGCATTCTTTGTTTTTTTCTTTAATTGACATGACAAAATAACAATGAAAATAACAACCTTCTGTTCTATACTAATATTAAATAGGTAATAGAATTAAATTTGGAAAGTATAATTATGTCTTTAATAAAGAAACAATACTCGAAATACGTTCCTCACATTTCTATAATATTACAGTTGCTCAGTCAGATTTATTACGAATGTTACGGTTTGATATGTCATCTATCCAAGGTGTCATTCATCTTAAAAAACCATTTATTATTCTATTGGATTATATGCGTTTACAGTTACTTTGTCTTCTATGGAAGGCTGAACCAGAACGTATACTTATTATTGGTCTTGGTGTTGGTATATTACCGAAAATTTTTCATTATCTTTCACCAAATACATTAATTGATGTTGTAGAAATTGATTCAGAAATAATGGATTTAGCACAAAAATATTTTGACTTTAATGAAAATGATCGTATTCGAGTTTATATTGAAGATGGTCGACATTTTATTGAACGTCAATCATCAAATAAATATGATGTGATTATAATTGATGCATTTACAGTTAAAAATCATATTTCACATAAATTACATACAGTTGAATGTATTAGAGAATATTTACGTATTTTAAAATCGACTGGTCTTGTTCTAGGAAATTTTTTTACTAAACATGAAAATCAATATAAACAAACATATGAACGTACACTTTTCAAACACATGTATCGAGGAAATATAAAAAATAATTATATTCTTATTGGACTTAATAAACAAGCAAAAGTTTTCAATCTGAATGAATTAAAATTAAGAGCAAGAGATCTTCAACAAAATAAACCATTATTTGATATGAATTGGATCCATGAAACAAAATATATTCATCATGGAAACGATGATAAATGGGATAGATGAGCAAGAATATTTACAAATAAAGTTTATGAAAATTCTGTAGATTTATTAGAAAAAAATATAAAATTTCAATTATTAATAGTCAATAAAATTATATATAAAATAACTCTCTATATTAACACGTTCTCTCATAATTTGTTCTTTTTATATGATCAGTAAGACTTCATATCTATGCTACATATACTAGGAGATACTAGTAAAAGATGTATCATATGTTCACTTTCGAAATGTAATAACTTGTTGAAAAGCATACAAATAAATTTTATTGTTTGTCTGTGACTCTATGAGAGTTTCTGTGTTGTTTGATTTTTCATTCAGTTTGTATCCTTTCCTCTGCTGATCTCAATCTGTAAAATAAATTCGATTTCATTACAGCTAAATCAAAAAAAAAAACTTTGTCTTCCCTCACTTTTGGGCCAGCGTATATCTATCTACACGAAACAAACAAAAACAATAAGCAATGGAGGTGTTAAACCTTTAAAGTACTATGACTCCGTCAATAGAATAAATTTTCTTATCACTTCATATTTAATCCACTTATTATGTATTATTGATATTTCTTGAGAAATTATTTCGAAATCTTGAAAACCAACTTCATTCATATATAACTATGTTTTGGTTCATTTCTCAAAAAGGTAGTCAACCAATAGGTGATGATCCTCAGGATGGGAGGAGGGACTGTTTATACGAATTCGTATAAACAGTCTGATATAATATCAGCACTATCTAAACATGAAATGGAATTTAAACATAAAATAAATTATAATGATTGGCATATCTTGTACAAAGGCAACTCTACTCAAAGATTAAAGAGTAAGGAATCTTTAGCTATTATAGCATTGAAACCAGATTTGAATGTAACTACTCGATCTATTCCACTTTTTATTGTTCCAGATGATTCGAAGAATAAAAAGAAAGTGAAATTTAAATTAAAACAAAATGGATAAGATTCTTCTAGATTGCGTGACTCATCGGACATTAAGTGCAACTAATATATAGATAAGATCACACATTCTCTCTTTTTATTGTTTCTATTTTCTTCTGTTTTACAAGTTCTCTAGATAATTACGACTAAAATCGTCAAAAGCTCGAGTGATTACTAATGTTAATGCTTTTTTTTGGTATATTATAACTATCTTTGTCTGATTAATTTTATATAATAAAATAAAAAAAATATGATCTTAGCTGCTGTGAAATCTATCATTTATATAATCCCTACAAATAATGCATCGATGGTCTTACGCAGACTTATTAAGTTTAATATCTGAGATCAACTTTTGATACCCTGCAAATTTGAACATCAAGTTTTCAACTTTTCATCTTCATGAAGAAGGTTTTTGAGTGTCAAAAATTGAAAATAGATTGGAAAGGGTCATACCAGTTCAATGCTCAAAGTTTTAATCTAGAGATATAGATTCGAATGAAAATGATAGGAAAAAATTATATGTTCTATGTCTTATTTTTGTTTTTTTTACCACATCAACACAGAAGATTCACTCATGAGTTTCATATCATTTGGCTCTGATAATAATATTCATGTACCATCTGCTTCTAATCTTAATGACGCAGATCAAATTCATCTTCACATCGTTTAATCGGCAATTCGATTTGATCTTCAAATTGTTATATTCGTCAACACTTAAAGCAATTCTAGTTGGAAAAAAAATACAAAATATTTTCATCTTGAAAATAGTAATTTAACAAGTGCACCAATGCCATGAAAATGTACGAAGGTTATTGCTTTTGAACTCGATTAAAATATACAATAAAAACAGTTTGTCAGTTTTCAAGGGTATGAAAATATCACTCTGTGAACATTTCTGGTACGTATCGAAATGCCATCTATGCGATAGTGAAAGCTGCACCTCGAACTCATTTTATGTTTGCGATTTATTCAAAAATTAAGAATTTTAGAAAAAGTGTCCTTTATTCCAGACAATAGTAATAAGTGATGTCATCATGTTGAAAGAGTTTAGAATGAAAAGTACAATTGATAGGCTGTAAAACAAAAAATATCAAAGAAAGAAAAAGGTTAACAACTTACGGTTTTATATATTTAGTGTTGTCAAACTATTTCTAATATCAAATGCAATATAATGTATAATAATACTCAATAGTTACACTTGAAGATAAGCAAAACTTTGAAGTACTAAATAATTAGAAATGCATTCAAGCATGATGTGGTTTTAACAGAGGCCAGAAGACATTATAATCTTTTGAAAAGTAACCCCACGTGTGACTCTGCAGGTAGTCAGGGTGTGGGTGTGGGTGTGGATGTGTGGGTGGGTGTGGATGTATGTGTGGGTGTGGGTCAAGAGATACACTGCAACCGCACTCATAGCCACACCCACACCCTTATATAAAAAATAACATACGTGAAATAATCAGTACTCATTCTAAAGAAAAACAAATGTATTGAAATTCTTATATGAATCAAGGGTTTAAATGTAATAAATGAACATTTTCGTTGTATTTTGACAGATAAAGATGAATAGAACAAGATTATTTCAGAGATGACCAAACTAGAGGTTTTTCAAGTCATTTTATTGTTTCATGTAGAAACTTGAAATCTACTGTGATCATTTTTGATGAAAAAAAATTAATTTCTATCCAGTTTTCATAAGACTGCTCATGAATAAAGATTTATCCTTGGTTCGAGACCGTATCTGTAGATCACTCGAGAGTTCAGTTACATAGTTAAGATGAAAAATCTCAGAAGTTATTATGTGACAAAGAAATATGACGAATCATGAAGATCAAGGGGCCAAGTACATTGGATGAATTTCAAAAAATGAAAAAACCTTGTTTAGTACTTGAAACTTTTTATTTTCATTAAAAGCGCGTATAAGTTGTTGAGCAATATATTATATATACTTTTTTTTGACTTGAAAATGTCTTGATTTGTCCATCTTTTAATAATATTTTCCTATTTATTGTTTATAATTCATTTGATTCTAAGCATTTGAAAACGATAATTGATACATATTCTGTTATCATATATGATGTTATCAATGCAATATATAACATTAAGATGATAACATCGTAATATATTTACCATATCAATATTAATGGTCAAAGTTCTTTCTACTAATCTGATCAAAGATGACAGCTTTCGTTATTGACTATTATCAATACAACAGAATATGTTTCGTGATACGAGTTTTATTCAATATCTAGTTAGTAGATATTTGCAGTTTTTGTTCATTCAGTCAGTATATATAATTTAATAAAAATAAAGTGAATAGTTAAACAACACGATACTTTACTTTTTGAAATTTATAAGTTAATTTTTTGTTATTATCATTAAAAATAAAACAAGTTTTTAAACAAAACTAAAAGATTTATGCATATGAAATATTGTTTCAGTCAATTACTCTCAGTTAATGCAACATTCTATTTCTGATATGTTCTTTAATAAAAACATTAGAAGGATATCAGTCCTATGTTTTACAATAGTGCGCCATTTCTTTATAAAAAGAACGAGATTATTTTTCAATAAATTTTGACTTGAGTACTTCAAAAAATGAGTCCTCTATAAAATCATGAAGTGCTTTTGCTTTTGTTTCATGTAGTGCATTTATTATTCATACTGAATAACGTATCGTAATAAATATTTCGTCCTTTTCTAACAGATACTAAAGTTCATGACAGTCATAAAAGCATCTTTAATATATATGCTGAAAACTTCTCAGATGGCGTTAGATATCAGTAAATAAATTAAAGACCCTGTTATGCTAACTTCATTATTTATTCAGAAAAATATTTGAAACAAAAATTGGTTCTTCTACACGATATGCACACCCCTACACAAACATACACATACACACAGCGCACAGTGCGGGTGAGAGAGAGGGTGTGCATATCGTGTAGAAGCACCCAAAAATTTCTTTTGTACAAATTTTTATTTATATTTTTTTAAAGATTTTCAATACACAAAATTCATTCAATAAATGATATGAATCATAAAAGTATCAACAGTATTAATATTAATTATAATGTATCCGTCTTCTTAAGATTGGATCATATAAGCATTCTACCAATCGAAAATTTTTGATTGCATACCATTTCAATCATACATTATGTATACAGCAATTTTATTGTTTTCTCCTTTGAGCCAACTCGACTAGTCATAAAACGTTCCTTGCTTTTTTAGGATAAAAGAAAAGAGAAAAAGAAATGAATGTTTGTCGACTTCTTTACATTTCTTCTATTTGTAAACGGAGTAACAATAAATGAGTTGTTGCTATCAGTAACCAACTTTCTTTTTTTTTCTATGTTTTATAAATACTTGTCCACCTTCATATTGCTTACTATCATTTTTATTAAAATATTGTTGTTACTATTTTTATAAAATTTTTCTTGTTAGTTTAGATTTCATTCCATATCATCATAACAATTTTATAAAACATGGTTCATGCAGTAACAAGTTCTGAAGAACTTAAAAAAGAAATTAATGATGAAAAAAACAAAGACAAATTAATCGTCATAGATTTTTTTGCAACGTAAATAAAACTATTTTTTTCATAAAAAAAATGATAATTATTTTTTGTCTAATTAGATGGTGTGGTCCTTGCGTTCGTATAGCACCAAAAATTGAAGATTGGAGTACAGGCGATTTTAAAGATGTACTATTTCTTAAATGTGATGTAGATCAAGTTGAAGAACTTTCAACAGAATATAAAGTTGAAGCAATGCCAACATTTGTTTTTATTAAAAATGGAGAAGAAATTCATCGAATTGTTGGTGCAAGTATCGATCAAATACAAAGTGGCATTGAGAGCCATCGCAAATAGATTCACAATTATCAAAAAAAACTTCATATATAAACTTGAAAGATTAAAAAAAGATGTTTTCTTTTTCTCATATGCTCATGAATTCAATTACATAATGATTTTGTAATCTGTGTACGGAAAGGTTATTTTATAAAAATTTTTGTAAAAAATAATAAGAGAAAAAAGAATACTAGTGATATTTGTCTTGTTCCTTATTTCTGCTAATAAATAAAATTAAAATGTGTTGTCTTAATTTATTTTTTACAAGAAGACAGGCGAATTATATTATTTAATAATGTCAAATTTTATATTTTTGATGAAAAGATTTCATTTTCAATGATAAATTTTAGATAAAGAAATTCATTTCTTAAACTGATTTTATTGAGTTTGACAAATGATTTCAAAAAAGTGAGCATATATTCATAAGTTTTGATTTGATATAAATTATTTATTTAATAGAAAACGGATTATTTCAAGTATAATACAAAACTAATATCATAGAATCAAATAAATTATTTGAACCTAATCAAAAGATGAACCTATCGTTGAATAAAACAAAATATATATACAATCAGAGCTGCCAGCCTCTGCTAATCAAAACCTGCTTGAAATTAATGTTGTAGTCCGTTTCGAAAGTTGGGTGTCATGATAGACAGAGTTGTATATCGAGAAGTTTTAAAAGCAAATGATTGGAATAACTCGAAAGTTTATCACAGTAGGAAGCAGAACAAATATATGAAATAGAAAAAAAGTAAAAGAAGTTTAACATTTTCTGTAGACGAAAAAAGCATAAATTAAGGAATGAATCAATCGAACTATTTTGATTTATTATATGCGTATAAAGCAAGCCTATTGGTAGTTTTGTTTAAAATGCTTTCAATATTTACTCATTCAGTCATAGTTAAGTACAAATAACATGGTTTATTTGTTTTGACAAGTTGTCAGTCATATTTTTGCTTTTAGTTATTGACAAATCAATGTATTGATAGGTTTTTTCTTACAATCATCAATTGTTATCTTCAGAGATATATCTGTAGATCACAAGAGCATCGTATGAATCCATATAGGATATACATGCTAAAAGAATTATTCGATTTAAAGTCAGAGATAATCAATATATCATGCATTTGATTTTTCTGTTTCCTATTTTAGTTTGAACAACTGACTTTCGATTATGTATGGAAAAATCTTTTTACTTTTCTTCTACTAGATTATGTTACTTAATGACATTAATGAATATTATGTCAAACATGTATTTATTGAGAATTTTATAGAACTTAAGTACCGTTTTGTTGACGTTTGTCTTGGTAGAAAAAAATTTTAATAATTTATGAGATGACCGAATTGCTGACTGCCGAAGCAATTATCGCATAGACAGCATGTTACAATATCTGTTCTTGACGTAGATGCTAAGCAGTCATACGAAATTTCTTGATTTTTACCTCCTCATAGTGAATACATAATATGTGAACTACCTTGTTAGTTCACATATTATGTATTCAGTGTAAGGGGGGTAAAAATCAGGAGATTTGATGCTAGAGAAGGAAACAGTTACATTAATAGCCACTTCCATACCATGGGAAAGTCAGTAACTCATGTGTAAATATATCTATTCTTAAGATATATTGCAACATTTTATCCTTTCAATGAAAAGTCCTAGCATCATTTATACATGATAATATAAATTTAGTAAGATAAAAAGACAAGATCCCTGAAAATCAATTTATTCGCCGTTGTTCACTTCATTTTCTGATGTTAACAGTTTTTCTTTAAAAATTTTCCTAACATAAGCAGATGAACAAAGTAATGTCTATAGTAGAAATCATTCTAGATCACAAAAAGCTTCCAATAATAAGATTAAAAATAAAGCTCTGGTTTAAATTATAAAGAATCTAATTGATTATCCGAAATACATTCATAAGGTTTACTCAAAAAACAAATCATACATTCGTTTGAATATATTTCCACACATACAATTTTTTTTGTTATAATTAAAACCTTTATCAAATATAATTTTTAATCTTTTCAGCTTGTCCAGCTAAAATGGATCAAGTTTAGCCAAAATTGAACAGAAGACTTCTAGATGATAAAGCGACTAAATTTAAACATTCAAAAAGTTTTTTGTAAGTTTTCATATATTCTCTACCAGTAGATTTCATTAATTTTTTAATAACAACGATAATAAATGGTAGCCAACAGCCAAAATCAAATATTTTTTATGTAATAAGCAAAATTCATTGTGTTTTATCATATTTCGAACACTATCTTATCATTTAAAAAAATTGAAATAACATTAGTAACATTGAAATTTATCATCAGTAAACCACTTAGCAAACACAAATTAAAACAATTTATGCAATGCCAGAAAATTTCGAGAAGTATAACCTTTTTTGAATCGTTCTGATGTAAGAAGTCCTTTGAATGAGTGTATTACCATGACTTCGTATCCTTCTTCTAGAGTCGTCCCAGTTCAGCCAAATAAAATGAAAATTTTAGTAAAACTAAAACTTTCATAAGTCCAGATATAGTGTAAGTTTCAAGCTTTTCTTTGTATATAAATCGTGCAATTCATAGGAAAGAATATCTATCTATATATATATATATCATTAAACAAAATTTTAAAAGAACAATTTAACTTTTGTTTAAATTCTACGAAATAAATTCTTATATATCTTATTTGTGACTTTAAAAAAAAAAAGAACACAAAAAAAAACCAACAATAAAATAATAAATATGTACATACAAACATATACAAAAAGAAAATCTAGTTCTTTTTTTTTGTGTTGCTGTTATTTTTATTTTAAGAACGATTATCTCGACAATTTGGACAAAACCATTTTCCTTTGGGTTTTGTTGTTAAATTAACACAATTAAAATGAAACCACTTTATTTCACATGATTTACTATCGCATAAAATCATTGAACCATAAGAAAGCTAAAAAAAAAAGAAGAATTAACAATGAAAAGAAAAAGAAAAAGGTATTATTATTCGATTTACTTGTGAACACAAACAATATGTTGGTTCATCGGATGGTGTTGATGTTGTATCATTATTTAATTTAAATTTTTTATTATTTCCACTATTTGTATTTTGTGTATTAGAATTTGTATTTCTTTGTGTAGGTTTTTTTCTTTCACGTTGATCATTATTATGTTCAGTATTAGTAACACATTTTCGTTTAAGATTTAGTGTTGATGTTGAAGGATTATTTGTTGTTGTTTTACGTTTCCATAATGATGTTGTTGATGTTTTTGTTGATAATGAACGTGCATTATTCATTTCAGATTCAAATTCATTTTCAGAATCAATATCATTTAAATTATTCTCTGTTGATGTTGATTGTTGATTTATTGACTCGACTACAAAAATAATTTTTAATAATAAAAATCAAAAAAGAAGAAAAAAATTTTTTTACTATATTTTTGATAAGCTATTTTAAGTTTTTTTGATTGTCGTTCAGTAGTATCAAGCATTTGTTGACTTAATTGCATTTTTTTATCACCTAGTGCTTTAGCCTGTATTAAAGTATCTATTAATATTGTTTGAATATCCGATTGAGATTGCTAAATAATAACAAGAAAAATAAAACAACTTATTCTATTGTATTACAAAAAAAAAAGACTTTTACCGAATCATGTTCTTGTTTATTACGTAAATTATTAATAAGTTCTCGGACACGATTATAACAATCTATAGAACACAATAACAAAAAAAAAATTCATTTGAAATATTAACAAAAACTGTAACAGAAGGAAACTGATAAATTCTATTCTAAAACATACTTATTATGTTGCAGTTTTCATTTTAAGTAGATTGTTTACCAATTGAATAACTTCTGACTCACCGTAAGCCTGATTTGTTCCTTACAAATAATTACTTTCTATTATTCACAAAATTTTAAGGTCTCTATCAATCGATGATATTCTCCAAGCAAACTGATGCTCAATGTCAGTTCATGAAGGTCTCAGAAGAACTGATTAAATATGAATAGATAAAAGAATTATTATGCAAAACAACTTAAAAAAGAAGGATTTCTCTCAATTTGATTGTTTTTCTATTATCCTGATTGTAACGATGAGTTGATGTACTCGACTATACTTTAATGTCTAAAACTAACTCTTTTCATAATATATAAATAAAAATAAAACTAATAAAATACTTTGTAAATAAATATCAAGTTGTCGAATTTGTGATAATTCATTTAGATCAATTCCATTTTCTTGATAATCAACAAATTGTCGCATATATTCATAAACTGCTGTTTCATTATTTAATACATTTGATTGATTATTTGTTGTCGTTGAAGAAGCCATTGAAGAGAAAAAAAAAAGAGGATATCTGAAAGAAGTTACAATTCTTGTTGTTCAGTTTCCATATTTTAATCCCTAGAAATAGTATCGAAGAAATAGTTTAAATGGTTCCCTACAAAATATATCAAAAATAGTTGAATTTAATCAAATCGTTGTTTGTCTGGTGAACAAATAAACTCTTACGATATCTTGAAGACCAATGAAAAACAAGAGTAGAGGTTCGAACGTCATAAAAACACTGGTTGATTGGTATTGATATGATGATTCATTAGCTACTATGGTTACAACCAATAAGAATATATCTGATATTAAAGTCAACGTTTTTTTTATGACAAGTGTATTAAGCAAAAGAAAAATTGGTACAACTATAATTTAGTGACTACCTCATGCTCACATTGATTGCTCGATTAAGCTTACCAATCGAATACGACAGTGCCAGTAAATTGCAAATGAACTTTGTACTGTTATCATTGGCTTTTTAAACAGATTTTCGATTTGTTTTATATGAAACAAAAAAAAATAAACGTATGTTTTGAACTAATTTGTAAATCTTACTTTTGTAGTAGGTTTTGAGACATCAGAAAAAAGAACTGATCTTAAAAGAATGAATTTATTATATTTGACTATGAATTCAATTGCATATATTTCTTAGAAATGAACTTTCGATACAACTTTAAATAAAGAAAAGATCTCTACCTTAAGGGGGGGTGTCCTCACCCTAACATACCCTGAAACTTTGTCAGTTTGT